GGCCGATGATTTATGGGATGTCTCTCGATGAGGCACAGCCGAACTCCACATCAATTGGGGAGGATATCGGGTCCCGCTCAAATTACCCATCAACGCTAACGAGGCGCACCGCTCTGACCGCGTGGCTACGGTGGACATGCCTCTCCCCGTGTGGGGCGAAACCAAACTTGCCCGTAACAAGACATGACGACCCCTTGGGTCAAAAAGGGCATCAGGGAAAAAAAGGAGGTGGACATCTACAATCCTGCAATTAGGTCGAGGTCCAACGTCGACTGACTCCTCCCTAGGCCTCGGGTTCTCAGTCCTCAACCGGATGGCAATGCATCCTACGAGGGTCACGATCCTAATGGCACCAAGACAAGACGATGACCCTTGCTTAGGGAAGACGTCTCAAAAACCCAGCACTGTCCGGAAGCACAACCAAAATCCCACAAAAACGGGAGATAATCCCAATTCAGGACTCTGGAATCATAAATACGAACAAAATCGACCCTAAAAGTTGACTCAAAGAGAAAACCATTATGCTCCATAAACGAATTCTTCTTTGATCCCCAACGAACGAGTGTGGCCAGCACTAGACAAAAATCCTCGCATCCCTAACACGGTAGAAGCGACCAAAGCTCTGGAAGCTATGATGCTAGAAGGAGGCTTGCAGGACGCTCAAGCGACGAAGCTCGCAAGGGGTCAAGCGACGAAGCTCGGACAGGCCACGACTACGATCCTGCACTCAGCATAATCCACTCCAAGAAAAAAATTGAAATCATTTCAAACAAGCTCAAAAAATTCTTAAATTTTCACACACCTTGGCTAACCAAATTCGAAGCTATCCCAATAGATCAAGTCAAAAAGATCAAAGCTTGAATAGGAATTTCATAATAATCCCTCTCTGAAATTGGGGTTTTGTCAATAATTCTCCAAAAGGTGATTTCTAGGTGCTTGTGGGGAATCTATAAAACCGAGTACCTAGATGAGTTCCCAAGGCCTCATAGCACCTAAAGATCAATCAAGATCAACCCAAAACCTTCAGATCAAAGATCTTCAACAAAATCACCAAAAGAGGCTAGAAAAGAGGGATTTCCGGGCTTGGAACAAGATAGATAGGTGTTGGACCCCAAAACATGGTTATATGTTTCAAGGATCCCAAAGACTCCCAAAAATGTTCCAAAGATTAATCCAAACCAGCAGCATGGAAATCAGAAAAAATAGCCAAAAAATCATCGAAAAAGAGAAATTTCAGATTTGGGAGAGAAGTGAAGAACGAATTTGATCTCTTGATTACTTCACCATTTATGATTATAAGCCACTCCTAGCATATCTCCAAGCATATAGATGGAAAAAACCTCAAACAAAGAACCACTCCTCTCTTCCTAGCCCTAACCCGAAAGCTCTCAACCTAACAAATGAGAGTCTAATCCCCAAGGCTTCCCAAAAGGCTTGGTCTCCACCACCAGCCATCTCCCGTATATATATAGGCACATGGCTATTTTCAAAGTTGCCCTTACAGCCTTACATGAAGCACTCTAACCAAATACCCGCCGGAGGCAAATCCGTCCAAGTTTTTCCTCATCGATCCAATGGTCATGGTGCCTTCTCAACATTTCTTTGCCTTGATGCAAGCTTTGAGATGCCACCACGTGTCTGCTGATCCGCCGCTACGCTGATCCAGGTGTTCGACCTCCGCCAAGGTTGACGCCTTTGCTTTCTTGTCTACTTGCTCTCGAAACATGAAATATAAGGAAAAGAGTTTTTTAGCCGCACCACATTGTTTAAAACCAAAATAAAAAGGTCTATGACTACATTTGGAACCCCCAAACAAGGATAGAAAAAATACCATGATGCCAGTCACATGGATGCACGCACGCAAAAAGGAACAGGAAGATGCTAGCAGGATCAACACGAAGCATCCGTGAGAACTATACCATGCCAAAGCCAACCGCACGTCTCTTTAAGTACCCTCTCTGTTCTAAATTATAAGTCACTCTGACTTTTTTAGTTCATCCATTTTGCTATGTATCTAGACATATATTATATATAGATACATAGCAAAATAAATGTAAAAAAAAAGTTAAAACGACTTATAATTTGAAACGAAGGGAGTACCTGTGTCTCCTCTCCTAGGCGCAGTCCACAAACCCCCTCCGCTCAGCAGGACCCTAAAAAGGTCCAGTAACAATATATAAGCCAAACATGAGTGTGAACAACTAAGACAAGAGCAACGACCGCCCTTGCATCAGGACTGTACTCTGCAATATGTTTAATTTGTTTTTTCATGAAGGTAGTACCTTGTTGTCGTGGGTTCATAATCACAAGTGATTAGTGGATCGATCGATGGGTTTTTGCGTGGGACTTCGTTGGTTTAACACTCATGACACAAAGGATATTCTGGTTCGGGAGTCCAAGCCATGCGACCACCAGCAGCAAGTTCTTCGTGTTAGAATGCTCAAGCGAGTTATTACAATGGAAGAAAAAGATGGTAGGAGAGCGCTAGCTTGTTCTGATCTAGTTTTTTGGGATTCGTCTTCCTCTAAGGGAGCCTCATATCTACCTTATACCGAAGGACGAGAGAAGTACAAGTAGTATGGGATCTGGTGGCTCCTGCGGCCAATGAGGGAGCGCTAGGGTTTCATGTCCTAATCTTCAAGTCATTGGAGGCGTCCGACGTCGTTCGCTTCTCTAGTGGTCGTGACCAACAGTGTTGCATCGTCTTGACAGTGCCTGCAGGGGCCTGGAGCTGACCATCAAAGCCCGAAGATGTTGTTGTGTGTCACCTGAGTTCATCCTCCCTCATGGTGTCTGATCTACGCCATAGGGTGGGTGCTTCCTCATGAAAGACTATTGGAGGGACCCATGCGCCCATCTCCTCCCTCATACAGAGACAACGCACAACCCCTTTGTCACGCTACGTCATGCCTGGGCATTTCCTCGAATCGGGAGTGGCCGACATTCCCTTATGGGGCTGGGGAGACAGAACTCCGGCAGGGTCTACGGCTTTGCACGTGTATCACGCTCTGGGCTTTTGTCAAAGCCTGGCGGAAGATTCCATACATCGCCGAGAATGGATGGTTTATCGAGAAGGTGCCTTACCGAGGCCACGAATCCTAGCCCTCTTTGATCGGTCCCGACCTACCGAGGCCGGGATGGCCCGAGAACTTACCGAGCCCCTGAGCGTGGGGACGCAAGTGTGTGGTCTCGCTTCGAGGAGTTCTCCCAAGCACCGAGGCCATTTGGGAAGTGGGTCGTCGTGGGCCTGATGGGCCGTTCTAGTTATCTAGTGTGGGCGCACGAGCGTACACACTGGGTGTAGCCCTCGAACCCCTTATTGATTAAGAGAATCAGTTATGGGGTTTTAGTCGCATTGTTACTATGCCAATCTAGGGGTTTAGGTAACCTCACTGTTAGGTAGTCAGCACCTACTTTTTATAGAAAGCAACTCAATCTATAGGATGTTTGTCCGGGTCTAGACGCTGACCTCGCCCTCCACCCCACACTAGCTAGCTGCCTAGCCCATAGCCGAGCGCCGCTTAGTAAGCACGCGAATGCAGGAGAGAAGGTCGGGAAGGAGGAAGGGCCACACACGCCATGGATCCGATGATGCAAAGTAGTAAAAAATGATGATGTGGCCACGGTCGGCGACTCAAAACCTTTGCGGTTTCCAACTAATATAATATACACGTACCGGAAGAAGGAAGAGTGGGGACGACCGACGAGTCTTGTTGGTGTGGAACTGCTGCGGGCTGCGGCCGTGCTGGCGCGCGCGGTGTGGGCCGATCCAGGTGCCGATGAGAGGCCCGCCCAGACGAGGCGATAGACGCGTGACCGGTCGAGTTCCTGTATGGTGGACGACACGCTAGCGGCAAATAAATAGAGATGCATGCAGTGCTGGAGAAGGACCGGCCGGCTGCGTTACTAGCTAGTACTTTGTTTTTCTCTCAGCGCGGAGACAAGGCGGACGTGTCGTCGTCCGTCCGATTGATCTGGCAGCGCGCGGCGGCTTATAGTAGGTAAAACACATATGCATCTATGCTTAATAAACACACACACACACACACACACGTATGCATCTAGGACGAGATTTTTTAATTATCGGTAAATAAATATATCAGTGGATTTGTCGTTAATTTCAACGTGGTTAACATTATTGGTTTGCAAAGTGTTGTAGCTTAAACCCTCGTATGTTCTTCTGAATCACGAACTTAGAGTTTGATTTTTTTTTGTTTGTTTGTCACAATGTGAAGCAATCTACTAAGATTCTAAGAACGTTTTTCTTAAACTGATTGGCGTGATTGTTCTCTTTGGATTAGTTGCAGAATTTAGCTAGACTCCTTTCTCCTATCTAAATTCAGGTCAACATGTTTTCTCGTATATGGTCAGAAATCTATGGGGAGTTAAATTTGAGGTTTATTATTAGCTATATATGAGCGTCTCCAATATAGTTTCTAAAAAATCACTTGGTAAACTAATAATGAGTTTTCCAAGTGACTAAAAAAAGTTGGGAGTATATTTGTTACCTTCCTCCAACAACTTCCAAAATCTCGCTATTAAAAGATATATAAGGTAATTTTACATCAGGAATCACGTACTCTTTTTTATCACCCTAACTACTTTCGTACTTTCTTTACATTTGTATCTGGAACCCTGTCCTACTTCTTATTTTTTTCCACATCCTTCCATTTTAGGTTCACGATTGGGAGGTGGAGTTGGGAGTTTTGGAGATGTATTTTTTTCGATCTCGCCAAAAATCATGGATTGTGAGATTGTTTTGGAAACTTTTGGGGATGCTCTTACCTTCTCCACGCACTACGAGTGTATATCAGTCAGCCCCTTTGACAGGTAGCCTAACTAGCTAGCTATTGTTAATATACACTGAGCTATTATGTACTCCGATAAACAGTTGTTGATGATAAGATAAGAAATTTATGGACGCCGTTATATATTATATCCAATTCGAATTCCTCTACACATGACCTGCAGAGATATCACGGAAAAAAGGAAAGCCCTCGATGGAGGAGTTGTCAACGGAGCCCCGCGCTACGGTGTACCACAACTTCCTTGTGAGTCCCTTGCCTCGTTCATTTCTATTATTACGGAGAAAAGACCATATGATATTCTACATGCTATCTTTCTCCACTGGTTAATAATTAGGAGACCTCGACCGGGTTGTTTTTGTTTGGTTTTGTGTATATGTTGAAATCTTATAGTCGAGGAGTGGGCGCAGCAAAATACCAAACCACCGTTATATGTTGATGCTTGTGCGATCGAATTTGCTTAGCTGTCAACTAGCTCATTGCCCCTTTTCCACTGAAATTTACCTTGGATTTAATTTATTTGCGAATTAATCCGATCCCTTATTATGGTTTTGAACACTTATGATAGATGCACAAAAGAACATAGTGGGACGATATGGCGGTAGCACTACTGGCAGCTTACTTGAAACGTCTACTAGTATATACAGATGTCATGAGATTTAGTACTAATAGTTTTTTTTAGCGGAGCAGGACGATGTACGTTGTAATCTTCACTGTCGTAATTTCATACAATATATATGAATGGGGAGGTTCATGTTATGTTTATCAATTTTTTCTGCTTATTCCCACTTGGCAAAAGATTTTGAACATGTGTATATATGAAGTCATGTCTGTTGGCTGTTGATTTAATTTTAATGTCAGGACTAATTAATTTCTTGTTCATTTGCAACCTGATCCTTTTGTTATTGTCGACTGTCTTTCTGTTCATTTTAGTTTGCTTCACCATTTAATCTGGTAATCACTGAATCCTATGCTGTTCGTTCTCAGTCCAAGAAAGAATGTGACCACTTGATTTCACTGGCAAAGCCCCACATGACGAGGTCCAAAGTAGTTGATTCTCTGACTGGAGAGACAAAGGAAAGCAGGTTTGAGCATTGTTGAAATCCCAATTTCAGGGATGTTACAAGGTTACATTACCAGTGATACTCATTTTGCTTGATGGCGGTATATGCAGTTCTCGAACAAGTTCAGGAATGTCTCTTACAAGAGGGCAGGACACAATTATTCGTACAATTGAGAAAAGGATAGCAGATTACACCTCAATACCAATAGGTATGTACTTCAATTCCTCCATCCGAAAAAGGATGCGATTCTAGCATAGTACTGAGTTAAATCATTTTTGATTTGATTAAGTTTTTACAAAAATGTCAAATGATGAGACTAAATAAGTATAGTTAGCTAGGTTAGTCACGAAATGTATTGCCATAGTCATGAATTTGAACGATCTGTTCTATAAATTTAGTCAAATTTTAAATAGCTTGACTAGTTGCAGACCTAAAATTGCATCGTTCCAGGACGGTGGTATTAGTACGTGGTACCTACCGTGCTTGGGTTTCAAAGTTGATATGTTTTGCCTACTTTTCCGTGAAAAGAATATTTAGTATGCTCACTACATTCGATGTTTGGGTGGTGCTGTTTGACACAGCTAATTACTCGCACATTTGACAAATTGTGTTGCAGTTCTTGGATAGCATGCTCTGTCTACTTCACTCTAACCTTGGAGGTTTCAATGTTATATAATGCATGCCACTATGTCAGATTATTTCACTAAAAACTGCACAATGTAAAAAAGTTGAATGTGCTAATTGTGCACTCACCATTATGTCGTCTCCAAAACTAAGATGGTTAGAACTGTACATCAGGTGCAGTTTTCCTAGAGTGAATGGTTTGACATCTAATTGTGCATTTAAATATATAACAGAGGTAGATGTATACCATCAATAAGAGATACTCTCCCTCCGCTCTAAAGTACGTCGTTTTGACTTTTTTGATACATCAATTTTTGCAATGCATATAGACATATATTATATCTAGATAAATAGCAAATTTATGTAAAAAAAACAAAACGACTTATAATTTGGAACCAGGGGATTACTTTATTAATTCAGCAAATGGAAAACCAGTAACCACCCATAACAGCAAAACCTGATGGGCGCAATGCCATTCGTGTGATCGTGTCGGATTATTTTATTATATTGCACGCAATTTACTTCAAATGCCAGTAGCACCTTTTTTCTTATTTTAATTTAATTGCTTTCCTGCAATTTTGTAGAGAATGGTGAGGGCCTTCAAGTTCTCCACTATGCAATTGGACAGAAGTCCGAGCCTCACTTTGACTACACTAACGTTAGTTTCGTCACAAAAAATGGAGGCCGTCGTATGGCGACTCTACTTATGTATCTGTAAGTATCATTATAATATACTTGTATTCTATGAATATGCGATATTTTTCTGATCAAATTTGAAAAATGTGAGATTATCATTTTTACACGGCAATATTTGAATTTTTCTAGCTCGGATGTTGAAAAGGGTGGCGAGACTGTGTTCCCTAACGCGACAGCAAAAGGCAAGCTGTCTAATCAATGTCTAAAGCTAAAGAGTGGTATATCTGTTAAACCTAAAATGGGAGATGCATTGCTTTTCTGGAGCATGAAGCCTGATGGATCTCGTGATCCCACAAGCCTGCATGGTGAGTTTCACCCAATCTTGTTGCTATGACATATTTTTCAATATACAGTTGATTAAGTGTCATGCCATTTTATTCAACTGCAAATCTCTGCTTTAACTTAGGTGGAAGTCCAGTGATTAAAGGCGACAAATGGTCAGCGACCAAGTGGATGCATGTTAACAAGTACAACTAGAAAACCAGGGGTGATCTTGTCACGTCTTTTGTGTATTTATTTAATTTAAGTAAAGGCTGTTTTACCGTGTACGAGCGGTGTTTCTTAACATGTAGTATATTTTACTTTACCTAGCAATGGTGCTAACTTTTTTCTCCTGCATCTTCACTTATAGCATGTGTTTCATCCACTATAGAAGCATTCATACAAGAAGATAGAAAAAGGAGTGGTTCTTTCGAATTCGAATGCTCAGGTCACCTATTCCAATATTCCATGAAATTGTTTCCTGGTCATGATCATTCTTTATTTTCTTGACAAGGGACTGTTTCTACACCATTTAAAAATAAGGTTAAAGCATATTTGAGCAGCAAATAAGTTAGCTGCAATATAAAAAACAGTACTATAAAAATGATTTTACGAGGAGGTGCCCTTTTATTAACCGAGGCAGGAATTTTTTGAGGCTATTGTTTTCATTTACCGAGGCAGTCACAATTAATCGCCTCGGAAAATCGATTTACGAAGGTGGTAAAAAATAACCGCCTCCTAAAATCTATTTGGAGGCCCATCTCCAAAAATAGCCTCATTTTCAAAGGCGTGCTTTTAATATACACGAGGCCCAACAAAAGCCCATACACTACAATAGAAAGTCAATTCACCACCGGGACCTTCACCAATGTTTTGAGATGACCAGCAGTGATACGTATCACCGCCGGCTCATGACCTATGGGCCCCCTCCTAGCCGAATTACAGGCAGTGATGAACTCTTTCGCCGCCGGCTCGGCGTATGATCCGGCGGTGAGCAAAATGCCGGACATCGTTGCCGTGTCGTTTGCCGAACTGGCGGTGGAAGGGTTTTCACCGCCGGTTGCTCGTTCTATATGTCCGACGCCCAGAGAAACTGGCGGAGGTAATAGTTTTTGCCACTGGTGCCAAGATTGACGTGTGCACTACAGTAATATTCGGCGGTGAAGTAAGTTATCACCATCGGTTTAACGTATGATCCGGCGGTGAAGCAACCATTGTGCGTATTGAATCTAGACCCTTCGTCTGGATTGAAGCCCTAATAAGGCCGGCCGGCCGCCACCTCCTCCCGCACGGCTGGCCCATTGTTCCTCTCTGGCTATTTGTGTGCAGGCCTCGCGCTGCGCCGCCGCCAGATCCAAAGGCAAGGTATGCTTTCACACTTCAATGATGGATATTTGTCGGATTATTTTCCTCTTTAAGCCTTGTTTGGATGTTGTCAGATCCATCTCAATCCATATGTGTTGAGGTGGATTGCTGTAAAATTTAGTTCAAGATCCACTTCAATATACCTGAACGCATGTGGATTGATCCAAACAAGATCTTAGTGATCTCATTAGTAAGGAAGCTCTCATCCCACTGCACACTGACGATCGCACGGTGATGACGAAGACTATATAGAAACTCCATCACCAGGTCAACAATTCCGAACAGCTGCACATGATCATGAGGCGGGAGCTTCTAGCGACTCTACGTTAGAGAGTATACTATCTTTGACAAAGATGATGTGCAGCATGCAAAGAGAAATGTGGCAATTTAACAAAGACTAGGCAAGGAAAAATACCCGCGATGAATGAGATGCACGCATCAATACTCAGAACCCAAACCACGATGCTTGAACAAATGCAAGATGATAGAGCCAACTGGCACTATAAATTTACCTACTTTATCGAACGTAGCGGTCTTCCACCTCCACTGGATAGGCTGCCAACTAATCCTGCTTTGTGTGCTACTCCTAGTCATCAGCTCTCTCAAGGTCCAATTTTATAGGTTGAACAGGTAGATAGGCAATAGGTGAATAGGACAGGGACTGATGGTCAGCCAGATACGGGAAGTAAAGCTCAACAAGATACGGAGACTGAAGAATGGACAAATACGGGGAGTGATGGTCAGCCAGGTATGGAAATAGGAGATCAAAATGTAGGGTCTCGAGAACAGGAGGACATGGAGATCGATTCTACTAAAGTTGATTCTGTAATTGACAATGTCATAGCTGACGTGACCGCTGCCCATGGAAGCGACAGTACGGACTCATCACAGGAACCTAGGACGCCAGAAGGAGAGAAAGAGAAGACTACCACTACCACCGACGATGACGCCACGACCACTGCCCTTGGAAGAAGCACTATAGAGTCAGCACAGGAACCAGGGAAGGAAGGAGAGAAGGGGAAGACAACCACTCCCATCGACGACGCAAGCAAAAGTGCCGATGATGAAATTTAATTACCAACGTAATCTTTACTTTGAACTCTGTTGCAAGGCAGTCTATGTATTGATATAGTACCCAAGGGCCAGATTTGGTGAGGCAATCACAGTCATTCAACAGTGGCGGCTTTCTTTGGTGTTGGGACACATCGAATTCGATATTGTTGACTTGCTCATTTGTGAGTGGGAGGACTGGATTGCTGATGGTTTCAAGGGAAAGAGGAGGATGCCTTATGTTCATATCATCTATTCGCTCTTGGCAAAGACCATTGGATCTCCTGTCTATTGCGTTTAGTTGGAGAACTCTAGGGTAGGGTCCCAGACTATAAACCTCCTGCGCTAAATGACAGACGCAGAGGAGCACGTGGCTTGAGAGCGATGTACGAATGAACTTATCACACTAGCATAGTGAGCCAAGGCGGACCAAGAGGACTTGCGATTGAGAGAGGCAGAGGCTGGTGCAACTCTTGCTGGATGGTGGGTGGCTATATGGATACTAACAGTGATGACGAAGACTATATGGAAACTCCATCACCAGGTCAACAATTCCGAACAGCTGCACATGATCATGAGGCGGGAGCTTCTGGTGACTCTGCGTCAAAGAGTATACTATCTTTGACAAAGATGATGCGCAGCATGCAAAGAGAAATGTGGCAATTTAACCAAGACCAGGCAAGGAAAAATACCACGATGAATGAGATGCACGCATCTATACTCAGAATCCAAACCACGATGCTTGAACAAATGCAAGATGATAGAGCCAACTGGCACTATAAATTTACCTACTTTATCGAACGTAGCGGTCTTCCACCTCCACTGGATAGGCTGCCAACTAATCCTGCTTTGTGTGCTACTCCTAGTCATCAGCTCTCTCAAGGTCCAATTTTATAGGTTGAACAGGTAGATAGGCAATAGGTGAATAGGACAGGGACTGATGGTCAGCCAGATACAGGAAGTAAAGCTCAACAAGATACAGAGACTGAAGAATGGACAGATACGGGGAGTGATGGTCAGCCAGGTATGGAAATAGGAGATCAAAATGCAGGGTCTCGAGAATAGGAGGACATGTAGATCGATTCTACTAAAGTTGATTCTATAATTGACAATGTCATAGCTGACGTGACCGCTGCCCATGGAAGCGACAGTACGGGCTCATCACAGGAACCTAGGACGCCAGAAGGAGAGAAAGAGAAGACTACCACTACCACCGACGATGACGCCACGACCACTGCCCTTGGAAGAAGCACTATAGAGTCAGCACAGGAACCAGGTAAGGAAGGAGAGAAGGGGAAGACAACCACTCCCATCGACGACGCAAGCAAAAGTGCCGATGATGAAATTTAATTACCAACGTAATCTTTACTTCGAACTGTGTTGCAAGGCAGTCTATGTATTGATATAGTACCCAAGGGCCAGATTTGGTGAGGCAATCACAGTCATTCAACAGTGGTGGCTTTCTTTGGTGTTGGGACACATCGAATTCGATATTGTTGACTTGCTCATTTGTGAGTGGGAGGACTGGATTGCTGATGGTTTCAAGGGAAAGAGGAGGATGCCTTATGTTCATATCATCTGTTCACTCTTGGCAAAGACCATAGGATCTCCTGTCTATTGCATTCAGTTGGAGAACTCTAGGGCAGGGTTCCTAGACTATAAACCTCCTGCGCTAAATGGTTGAACAAATGGTTCTTAGAGATATATCTATACATGTTAAAGATATGGGTATAGACATTACAAACTATGGACTTCCTGAACTAGATGCCTCAGGGAAATTAATAAATATAAAAATTCTAGAAAACTTTTTTTTATTCATAAACATTGTATTTACCTTAACATCACAATGACAATTTGATATGTCACTAAACATTATTAAAAAATTAATGCTTCTTATTCATCATTTTGACATGACCCTTTACACTTTATTTCATTAGATGAGGTGTCAAGAGACCATTACAGAGAGCTTACTGAAGAATTGAATATTGGATATAAAGAAGAACATCTAAAAATGATAGAAACACTGAATATTGAGCAGAGAGTTGGGTTTGATTTGATTATGAATCATGTAGAGAAGAAAGTTGGCCAGGTATTTTTTGTTAATGGACAAGGAGGAACTGGCAAGACATATGTATATAAAGCTTTGCTTGAAAAGGAGCGCTCCATGAATCTTGTAGCAATTGCTACAACCACATTTGGTATTGCAGCAAGTATCATGCCTCGCGGACACACTGTACACTCCCACTTCAAGATTCCCATCAAGCTAGATAATAACACTATGTGCAGCTTTACAAAGCAGAGTGGTACTGCCGAATTGCTTCGCAGGGCTGCCTTGGTATTATGGGATGAAGTAGCCATGACAAATAAACAAGCAGTAGAAACACTCGACTGAACATTGCAGGATATAATGGGTTGCAATCAACCTTTTGGAGGTAAGGTCATGTTGTTCGGAGGTGATTTCAGGCAAGTTCTACCCGTTGTGACATGAGGAACAAGAGCACAAATCACTGATGCTACTTTACCGAAGTCATATATATGGGACAATGTATGAATGATTCAGCTTACCCAAAACATGCGAGCTAAAAATGATAACTGGTTTGCAGAGTACCTGTTAAGAATTGGGAACAGAACAGAAAAAACATTTGGTGATAATTATGTTGAATTGCCCGATGATATCATCGTGGAATGGAGGCAAGATTCCAGTAAGAATGCAAAAAAAAAGTTCAAAAGACAATCCAATTGACAATCTTATCGATAAGGTGTTCCCCAAACTCAAGGAAAATTGCACCTCTCTAGATTAT